CTTCTCATCGTTTGTAATCAGTAAAAGTACACTTAATTCTGAAACATGGAGTTGAGTGGTTTCTTTCTTGGTTATTAAATGAAGGGGCAGTGACAGGTTCATAGTTATGACGCTTGCAGTGTCCCAGGGTCATGCGATCTCCTTTTGTGACCTGACAAGCAATGAGGAAATCACATTCACTTAACAACCATATTCTGAACCTAACAACTGCAGTTATTCACTTAACAATTTTGGCAAGAGAAGTCATAAAATGGGGCAAAACTCACTTAACAAATTTCTCATTTAGCAACATAAATTTTGGGCTCAAGTATGGTCATAAATTGGGACTACCTGTATTCCCAAGGATTGAAAAGGTTTCCCAATCCTGATGTCAGTGATATATATTTCCACAAAATGTTGAATAATGGGAGAAAGAATAATAGAACACATTGATAGTGGTTGTCATGTACATAAATGCAAAACTATATAGTTAGTCATAGGCTTTCTCTTGAGCAAAAATAGAATTTATTTCCTCATTCTCTGAAATGAAAGCCCTAAACATTTACCATTATGGAATTGCACAACTACTAAATTATGTATAAATATTTTGAACTTTGAAATATTTAAAAACTACAGTATGTGTGGTCAAGCCAAGAGCCATGAAAATACATTATCTTCAAAATCAAAAGTATACTCACTGATAATATGGAAAACTCCATCCTCATAATAAATTGTCCAGTAGGGACATGACTTCTGATTTTCTACTACCACCTAGTAATTGACATTGGAATAATGTACATCCTATTCTAATGTAAATGCTCTTGTATGATTTATAATGTAATATGTTTGCACCATTTCACTTGGGTGTTGTAATCTTCTGGGAAATTTAGGATGAAAACTCTAATTTTCCCATCAGATACGCTACCAGATATGCCATATTATAATTGATGCCCAGTTAAAAACCAATGTTAGTTTGGAAATGTCTACCACATGTGGCAAAATAGCAGGAATCCTAGCCTTCAATCCACTCTAGTACAGTACAAAAATATAAACTAAGAACAAATTTTGGAAGCTTTACCACCGGCACTTGTAGAGGCATCTAGCTGGGATAGGCTGAATCAATGAATCAACAAGGAGAAGGCATTTCCTAACATTAAAAATATTATATTTTAATCTGTTTCACTACTGGATTTGCCATTAGGTCTTCTTGCAATTTTATCTCCATAAGCACATTCATTAATACAACTAGTCGTATAAGACCTTATGAAACCATATTAAAAGCACCATCTGTCTCTACCTGTTTATTTTTCAGAATCTGGCATTTTTCCCAATTACTATGAGCTTTTGTGCTGAGCAGTGACATGGTAAAGATTTAAAGTTTTTATGTACCAAGTAGCAATGGCAAACAGCTCCTAAGAAAGAGAATAATCCAACATTATTTGATTGTGAAACAGCTGCTTGGCTATATGAATCAACTTCAAGCAAATTGGAGCTGCCGAAGTATTCGGTCTGTTTACTCTTGAAGGTTGCCCTGCAAGAACAGGAGATGCAGTCACAAAAGGCAGAAGAGAGGCAAAGTTCTTGAAAAGCTAGCACACAACTTGTTTAGAGAAGCTTGATTTATTAACCGTGATTCAAAGAAAACAGTATTGGTAAATGATTCCAGCTGGACTAGATAATGTTGAACTAGCAGATGACAGATGTGAGCACCATGGACAGAGGAGAACAATTCCAAAAATATATGCTTAAAAATTAACCAAAAGGAATGACTTTGCCTATAGGTTAAGAAGAGCAACCCATGGGAAGTGGGAACACTAGAATACACAGATTGGGGGTGGCTTCATAGATTATTCCAGCAAAGCATGATATATAGCAGGGGTATCAAACTCGACTTCATTGAGGGCTGCATCAGTGTTGTGTTTGACCTCCGGGAGCTGGCGTGGGTGTGGCCAAGGTGGGCATGGCCAGCTCAACATCACTCATGTCAGGGGTGCCTGTGGTGGCCTGAGCGCTCTGCCAGCAAAAACAGGTTCCTAAACTCCATTTTCAGCTGCCAAGGTCTCCTACAATTCTCTGCCAGTAAAAATGGACGTTTTCAATGGCAGAAGCACCACGGACCAGACCTTCACTGTTTCCAGGGCAGCCTGCGGGCCAGATCTAAGTACCTGGCAGGCTGGATCTTAACCCTGAGCTTTGAGTTTGACATCCCTGATATAGAGGGATCTTTACTTATAAACTGTCTGTTTATAGAATTCTTGATCTAAATGACAATTTATCACATGCAAAATATGACTGCTTACAATCATCTCACACCAGTCTCTAATATTTCCAATAACTATTGTAATTGTCTATGGAGATTCTCTGTCATCCAGGTCATGGTTGTCCCAAAAGAGCTTTTTCAAGAGGCAACTGGACTTTCTGGTTTTTCTCTGAAGACGTTTCGTTTCAAGAGCTGAAGAAGCTTCTTGGATGAGAAGCAAAAAGAAAAACAAGACAGTCTAGTTGCCTCTTGAAAAACCACCTTTGGGATAGTGATTGTGATGTGAAAAGAACGTCAGCTTTATATATTCCACATTTGCCACTTCTTTATCTTGAAACCAAAGCAACTAATTCAGCACCATCTGTTAATATGAAAGAAGGGATGGGAAGAATCAGATTCAATCCAGGATCTTGACCTACTTTTATTGAGGTGGAATGATCCTAGGTGTGCTTTTAAAGGAAATTGTTTTCCTTTGATAATTCGCCATAGTTGTCTTTGAACTGAATATTCCACAATAGCAGATTAGTATTCACAATTAATAATCTCTACATTCTAGTTGTGCAACTTGAACTTAGAAAGAAGAACATGAATGAACAAATGGAGGAATTGTATCTACGGAAATATTTTTCCAGAAACCCTTTCAAAACATCAGGAAAAGACTTGAGAACAAATAGGACATGAATCCAGTTGCACAAGGCTATGGTCTTATTTTTGAACAAAAGCAAACACCTGGTGTTTGTTCAAGAGCTGTGACTAACATGTTGCAGCAATTCCCAAAGAGTGGAATGAATTGTTTTATCTGCAAGGGGATGGATAACTTGGAGGGAAGAGGAAAGGCTCTGAATTCCATCTTAATTGTTATTTGTAGCTTTCAAAACAAGCTCTTTATTGTTAAAAAAATTCAAAGAAAATACAGTGCCAACAGCACCTATATTTGTTGGTAATGTCAATATGTCTATCTAAACCTTATAAACTTAGCAATATATTTTAATGGTACATCAGCTAGAACAGATACCCAATCAAAAACACATCCAATATATCCGACTGTAGGTCATACGACCTGAGGTTCCTGTGAATTATAGTGCAAAACATCAGGAAAAGCACCGTAGGAAAATGACTCATTAAGAGTGAGATGTGGTTGATTAACCATGCTCATAAATCCACCTCAGGTTAATGAGGAATGCAAATTCCTCTGGAAATACTCCCACCTTGGAAATGAGATTAACTCTATAGAATGCTCCAAGAACGAATCACAGGATTCATTTCACTGGGCAGCTGCTGACTTTTTCAATGATTCCTAAACATCTGGCGTAGGAGGACTCCCGGTTTCACATTACTTTCTTAGACATTTGGGACTTTTTTCAGCTTTACTAGAGGGGGGAAACGTTATCCTCTCCCTCTGTATACCATCTGTGGATTGTGGCTGGGTTTTCTTGTACGACCTTCGCACGCTGCGCAATTTTTAATTGGTATGGTGAGTGTATGGGACTTGCATGTGTGAATGAATGATCCCACTTTTTTTATTACCCCATTATTGTTGTATTTTATGTGTTTTTAATTATTACGTGGGGACTGCTTGAGTGAACAAATGAGTGTGTTTGATTCGGAGGGGCTGTCGGGGAACGCGGGAACCATAGGGGTGGTTGATGGGACTACGGACACGGGAGTGGGCCGGAGCATTACGGTCATAACAGGGAGGGGTAGATATGGCGGGGACTTTAGGGCTGGCTATTACCGGGGAAGGAGGGCTCGCTACGTTACAGAGATCCCTCCTTCCG